AATCAAATTGACAAGCGAGAATCTGGAACGATTGGAGTCAGCAATACGAGTGGTTCGAGCTAGCAGCAGGAATTAAACAGCTCCCGGCGGAAAGGCAGGTCGGCATCCTCATGAACAGTCTGGGACCGGATGTAATAGGAACGTTTATGGGATTCCAACTGACGGAAGAGGAGAAAAAAGACCCGAATGTGATCAAGCGAAAGTTTGCCGAAGCGTTCAACCCTACTGCTAACCCTACGTACAGCACGTACATATTCCTGAAGACTGACCAAGGCCCGGATGAAAGTTTTGACAGCTTTCTTATTAAGCTGCGACAGGCTATTGTGGATTGTGATTTCAATACTCCACAGGAAGGTATGTCTACGGAAGATCGACTGCTAAAGGACAAAATTGTGCTGGGAGTGCGCAGTCAAAAAGTTCGGGAGAAGCTCCTCAGTGACTCCAAGTTGACGCTTGAGAAAGCAATTCAAATCTGCAGATCCAGTGAAAAGACGACGGAAACGTTGCACCAGATCAGCTCTGACACGAAGAGTTGCGATGCCATCAAGGGAAGAGAAGCTGATAAACCTTTCAACTGCCGTAGGTGTGGAACTAAGCACGGAATGAAAAGTTGTCCTGCATTCAAGAAAACCAGTCCTGTTTGCAACAAAACTGGACACTTACCAGAGTGCTGCTTCAAGAAGAGCAAGGACCGGAAATCGTCTAGCAGTAGCAGCAAGAAGAATAAGGAGAAGAAAACAGCGTCTATCGTACAGGAAACAGAAGATTCGTCGGAAGAGGAACATGTGGACCTGCATCTGCACGCAATTCAAGCTCAGGAGAACTCCAGGACGGATGATGACGATTGGTTCGAGGAAGTGTTCGTGGGACCTGCGAAAATTACGTTCAAGTTGGATTGTGGAGCACAATGCAATGTTGTGACTCATCGACTCATCGACCAAGTACATCGTCTCGTACAATGGACACCGGAACAAGGTGGAAGGCGAATTCACAATGAAAAGTGTAGTGAAAGGTAAAGAAGAGAACATAACCTATAAAGTTGTGGATCTAGACGTCGTTCCTGTTCTTGGAAGGACCAGTTGCGTGAAGCTGAATCTGCTTAGGCGAGTACACGTCGTGAGAGAGGACACCAACATTTTCAAAGGTTTGGGCTGAGAAGTGAAGGAGGAACTGGAAAACATGGTGAAACTGGGAGTTATAAGGAAGCAAGAAGAACCAACACCAGTGGTAAGCAACCTAGTAGTGGTCCGGAAGAATAAGAAGATTCAACTGTGTATTGATCCGACAGACGTGAATAAAAGCATTCTGCGCAGACACTATCCACTCAGGACGATTGAGGAGATTGCGGCAAGGATCCGTGATTCAACTTGGTTCACCATACTGGACTGCAAGAAGGGCTTTTGGCAGATCCAAGTAGCGGAGGCGTCCCAAAAATACTTGACATTCGGAACGCCATGGGGTCGCTACTCATGCAAACGTATTCCATTCGGTCTCGCATCAGCACCAGAGGTGTTCCAGAATCAGATCTCAACGCTGCTGGATGGACTAGATAACACGGATGTCTCGATGGATGATATATTGATATATGCATCAAGCGAAGCGAAACTAAAGGAGATCACAGCGAACGTTATTGACCGCCTAGATCGCGCTGGATTGAAGCTGAATAAGGAAAAGTGTCGGTAGTGGCAGTAGGATGCTTCCCTTTTGAACTGGGTGTTCACAGTATCCTTTTCACAACAACGTCACCTTACATACCGTTAATTTTAAATCCACATCACCAAAACGGTCCTTTTGAGGGCCATGCAAAATCAAAACGACTCTTTTCAGAGCCACAAACCATCAAAGCGGCCCTTTTCAGGGCCACCACAATTTTCAAAGATAGTGTTAGTTTGGAATAGTTTCCAACACTAGAATAATTACACATGAACTGAACAATAATCTTATTAGTTTTAAACGGAAAATGAACACTGACCAATTATTACACCTCGGAAGAAATTCACGGATGTCATAATAATATCGGGAATTTTAAATAACGTTCGTTCAAAATAGTAATAGATATGTGAGCGTAGTCCTACGTCAACTGTTCGTACAACCCCATTGGGCTGTTCCTTGTAGTTTTTTTTAAGAACCCGCAACTTTACTGAAATTTATTGATTTGCCATGAAGTTTCGACAATCTTCCTAAAGTATTATTACCATTATAAACGCTCACTAATTTTCCCAGAACTTATCTATGCTTACCTGAAGTACTCTGAATTTGTTTAATAATCCAACAAATTTTCTGAAATAACTCTCTGGCGATTCTGACATTTTCGGATCAACCCCACGTTTTCCGAGTGTTTATATAATTTTTATCACGTTCGAAATATTTCTGAAGTTTTCATAAATTCTCTGTAAGTTACTGTACTTCCCTAAAATTCTCAGAACATCTTAAGGGTTTTCGATTTTTTTTTCAGCACATCATGGAACTATCCTGAATTCTTCTAAATTAACGATTATAGATCTTCAAACTGCTCCAAAAGTCTGGACTAAAGTTACGAAAACAGTTCTTAAGATCTGAAATTCTCCAAAGATCTAGCTTTTCTGAGGTGCTCAGCATTTCCTTTAATTCCTTAGAACTTCTCCAAAGTTCCTACAATTGCTGCGAAGTTAATGGGACTGCTCTAATCTTTCAAAAAGTTAATTACGAACTTGAAATAAATCGTTTTTTTCCTTGATTCTGGCACTTTGAAAATTTTCCATATCTTGAACATGTTCATGGAATACGAAACTTCAAGACATTGCATATTTTTAGATCTTGGACTTACTCAAATTAAGTAATTTTTGTTAAACTTTATTGAAGTGAGAAATTAAGTAAGGGTTAAACTTCAACATTCAATGGATTTGATTGTAAAGCTGTTTCTTTAAACCTGATTGCCATGTCTTAACAACGTTTCGGTTAATTGCTGCAAAAAAGCGATTTATACGCATTTAAAAAATAGCTTTCTTATTATAAGCCTGGAATTAATCCGTTAAAGTTCTGGAAAAACCTGGAAAACTCAGGTAATTTTATTTGGAAAAATGAGTCACAAAAAAAGTTGAAAATAGTGATTGATTACTAGAAAAAGTGACTTTAGTGACTGGCTTGAAAAAAGTGACCAAGTCACTAAAAAGTGACTCGCTACCAGCCCTGTCTTTGGAAAGTGACAAGAAAGCTAATGATAGGTATTTTCAAACAAAGACTTACATTAGAATTTTTTAGCACATTTAGAATGTGCTTTTAACTTTATAAAATACTCCAATCAACAAAACTATTGAAACAAAGGTAGATTCAAACGCATACTCATTCTTTCTCGATTTCCTGTCCTATACTGTTAGATTGAACTGCATAGACACTCGCGATTCCGCTCAGGCTACGATTTACGATACCTCATAGGCCATAGAAGGTGTGGTTTGTAGCGCTCCTCGATCCAGGGAGGTACTTCGGACGGATTGTTCGTCGGCAGTTCATCAAAAGTGACAAACATCTCATCGATAATAGCTTTTTGAACTGCTGCTGCTATCTAAATCTTAATTTTAGATGGCAGGAAAATCTCACATTAGCGAATCAATCTACAGAAAATATTTTTTCATCTCTTGCATTTAAATCCATCTACTCGCATCGCTCTCCAACTTTTTGCAGGAAATCTCCTAAAATCTTCATCAATCTTGTTTCTATCTACTAAGCGTGCACGCATCTCACAACAGCAAAGCGACATTGTAGATAGAGTCGCCCTTCTCGAACTGCTGTTGTTGTAGCAGCATATGGCCGTTGTTCTTCTAAGTAGTTCGCAACGCCATTACTTCCATCTAAAACGAAGAGCGGTCTTAATCAGGCTTCTCTATGTGTTGATAAAAATAGCTCATAGATTTATTTCAGCGAGGCCTTGCTTGTACCCGAAGTTATTCATTTGCTGGCAGGTAAGGACAATCGTAGCCCTTCTTAATGACAGCATTACATTTCTGTTCCTTCTGGATACTTTGAGGTGACGTTCCTTAAGCTGGGTTTAGACAGGGCAAGTCAATTGATCAATGAACGCGAATTGAACGTGTAAACCATGCCATTCATCTGACTTGATCAACTCACTTGAACTGAAAAAAGTTGAACCAGGCTCAACTTTTCAAGCCAATTGAATTCAACAGAGTTGATCATTTGACTTGCCTAGTCTAAACCCAGCTTTATGCTTTTGGATGCTACTTCTGTTGTCATCACCCATTTCTTTCTCGTAATTTGTGAACAATTAGAAGAAAATTAAATGCTTGCAATGAATTGCAGTGTATGAGCCAACGTTGTCAGCTTGAACAATAGTTCCGGGCAATGTCATTTTCGTCAGCTGGACTCTACTGCTCATGCTACTCATAGCAAAGTGTTCCTCTCACCTCTGCTAAATACCGAGAGAAGCAGAAACAAACGGTACCACACCACAATATTAAAACAGGTTGACTCAGACCTGGTGGTGGTCTTGAATCATCGTTGCCATCCATGCATTCTGTAACACCGATATCCCGGACAGAATTATCCAATCCCGCAAATTTCTCAAGTATCACATCCGGAAGAACTTCAGCGCCAATTTTCAGTTTCTTATAAAAACTTTGAAAAATATGTCAATCGGCTTGCGGCTTCAGCCCACCGGTGATGGCAGATTTCAACACAAAAATCAGGTTGCTATGTGTATTTGATGTTGATCAACGCGAGTTAATCAGAATTAGTTGAAATTAACTCTGATTTTACTCATGATCAAGAGCTGTATTGCCCATTGAACTTAACTCATTAATGGCTAAAATAATTTACTTATTAATGAGCTAAGCCAATTCTCATAAAAATGGGTATTTTTTACTCATTAATGGGTTTTTTTCAATTTAGCGTGTAGAAACCTGGAAACTCGATTATGCTAATGTTTTTGTTTTCAAACCGACGACTTTGTAAAAGCTTTGAAATACTAACAAGTTTCTCTTTGTCTCTCTTTTTCCCCCACCTTCCAGAAAACCAAGCCCAACAGTACGGCGAAGTGAACCAGCTGGGTGGAGTGTTCGTCAACGGGCGACCCCTCCCAAACAGCACCCGGATGCGGATCGTCGAACTGGCCCGGTTAGGCATCCGGCCGTGTGACATCTCCCGGCAGCTCCGGGTCAGCCACGGGTGCGTCTCCAAGATACTAGCACGCTATCACGAAACCGGCTCGATACTACCCGGAGCGATCGGCGGCTCGAAACCCCGGGTGACGACCCCCAAGGTGGTGACCTACATCCGCGAGCTGAAGCAGAAAGACCCGGGAATCTTCGCGTGGGAAATCCGAGACCGGTTGCTATCGGACGGCGTATGCGACAAGAACAACGTGCCCAGCGTCAGTTCCATCTCCAGGATCCTACGGAATAAACTCGGCAACATCACCCACCACCACACCGGAAGTCACACCCCGCACACGCCTCACCTCTACAATTCCATCTACCCCTCGTACCCGTACACGACCAACTCGCTCAAATCGGAAATGTCCTGCGGGGGAAGTCCGTCGCCGCCGACGTCCGGCGTGACACCCATGCGATCACCTCACCACCACCACTGTTGGCCCTCGTCGCACTCCGTCACCGACATCCTGGCCAATGTGCACCACCAAGCGGCCGTGGCAGCCCTCCGCAATGGCGGCAACATGCCGACGTCCCAGTGCCACACGACGCCTCCGCCGCCATCGCTGGGTTCGGTCGTTCCGAACATGGCCACCGCCGCCAACATGCAGCACCAGATGCAGGACAGTTCCCACCACCAGTCGCCCAACTCGTACAACTACTACATGTATCTGCAGAGCGGCGGAATGCACCACGGTGGGTTGGCCAGCGCATCCGGATTATAGGACACCGCCGACGAACGGCACAGTAGCAGGTCGTCGGCATCGCTGTTCGCTCAGAGTGTGCTGTTTTAAAATAGCAAACCGAATATGTCTCGTTAGGTCAAATTTTTGGAATGGGAGGGCCGGAGGACGGTAAATGCCGTTCAACTAGTATAGTGTAGATAAGTGTTTAACTCTTTTTGTTTATTTTCGGTTCTTAAGGACGTAACGGGGGATGTAATAACTTCCGAAGTGGAACTGTGACAGCTGGTTGAGTATTGAGGGGAGGGGGGATTAAGGGAAGATTTCCTGAGAAATTTAGTGAGAGAAAAACGTCGAACCAGTGCAATATGAACGTAATAAGGAACCAGTTAATTTTCTCAGTCTTTTAGGAGGTATGTTAACAATTTAGATACGAACCGTGTAAATCAATGAGAACCGTGAACCGTGACTGTTTGGTTGTAAGATAATTTAATCTGTGAAAGTCGACAGGGGAAAAATGATCAGCTGGAAATCTGACTTAGGACGTCTAGTTTACAAATTCTGTGTAAATCGTATAGCGTAATATTGCACAACAAGCGGAATGACCAATCAATAATATTCAACAACATTTTTTTAAAGTATTCGTTAGTACAGTACAGTATGTGGTACAGTAGTGGCCCGATTTTTCCTCCGCGCATCAAACTTTTATCATTGAATAATTTCTTAAAATCGTAATTCTAAATTATTCTTATGCATCTTCAAGATGGGTGTTTAAGGTAAACTTCGGTGCAATAAGACCACTGAAAAAGCGCATGGGTTTCGTAGAACATTAGAAAAGATTTATACAAAGAGGGCTGGCAAAATTGGGTCATTACTGTATATGTCTCCAGTGGGATGCCTTGGTCCTCTTATCATTCTCAAGAGCTGACATCTACTAGATTGACCTGAAAAAGAACTGGCATCACTGATAAGCAGGGTTGCTTCTACACACTTGCTATAAAAAAATATTTTTTGGAGTTATGCAATCATTAGATGTTATAATGATATGTTGTACTTGTAAGTAACAAGAAGAGGGTGTAAGGTATGTGTTTGACTCATAAAACCTGTCAATTTCGCGTCACATTAAGCGATCTTATGATTCGTGAGCGTTCACTCAGAGTGAGCGCTCACGAGTCGTAAAATCGCTGATTGTGACGCACTGAAAGCAATATTGACAGATTTTATGTGTCAAACATATACTTCATAGTTGAAGATGCTAATTTCAAATAACAGACTGTAGTGGTAATTTTTATACGATAGATGGAGTAGATGAAAGCATAGAGTTGATAGTTCCGTTAGAGTACGGCAGTGTGAAGATTGTATATTAGACTGATGCAAAATTTGACTTTTTCGCTCCACAGTGCTTAAATGGTTTCAAATCGGGTCCTGATTAGCCTCCAAAAGTTACAACTCATTTGGTTAGAAACAGACTTCGCACAAGCCATTTGAAGTTTGTATGTAAATTACTATGGGAAATCTCAACTTTTTGTTCATTGCCTTCTAGTCTTTTTCCATATTGAGTTGCGAAACAGTTCGATAGCCATTCTTATGGCAAATTTTCTCAGCTACAACTTTGTTGAAGATCGTTTCTATGTAAAACGAGACAGGAAAAAGTTATTAATTATTTAAGAGATTGGTAAACTTATGACATGATCAAGCAGCTGCTCTGTAGGCAACACTGTATTTTGCAGTGTGACATAGTAGCCATGATTTTTGAGTCCTATTCAACGCCCCAGAAATACCAATGTTGCCTGCTGAGCAGTTGATTGAGCATGATCATAAGACATCAGCGCATTGAACAATTGATAACTTGCGATCCTTGTGTTTAATTAAAAAGTAATCTGCAGCAAAGTTGTAGCTGGGAAAATTTCCTACAAGTACAGTTGAAAGCTTTTGAAGCAGACCGATATGGTGAATTATTAGATAGACATGAACAAAAATCTTGGTTTTAGCATAGTAATTCCCATACAAACTTCAAATGGTTTGTGCGATCTCAGGTTTTCACCAAATGAGTTCAAATTTTGAGAGGTTAGTCAGGATCCGATTTGGAATCGTTTAAGTACTGTGGAGCGAAAATTTCAAATTTTGCATCACTCTATTGTATATAGATATTAGAATAGCGAACTAGGACAACTTTTAAGGAAGGTACAAATCGGTTGTTTCATCTCTCTTTACCAAACTCCCCCTTTGGAGAGGGATGGTGAGGGGTGTCCCCCCCCCCCCGCCACCACTGGCAAAAAGAGATGAAAACCGACCCGTTCAAGTACCAACTGTGTGTTTGAAACAGTTCTACCGATTTTTACCGCACTTCAATTGTTATTTGAAGGAAGGCATCCAGTCGTAGGTTTGGAAATTGCAACTATTGATTACCCCTACCACGATATGTGCTCCTGTCATCGTCGACTTGACGATCTCGAGGGGACACGGGTGGGGTAGGTGTTGCTACTGTACCTTTCGACCATTGACAGTAATTGATGGTATGCTCCCATCCAGAGTTATGTACTTTGACTATATGTTTTTAGTATTACTTCTACGTGAAGTCAACGTACTTCATGACCTCTTCTTGTTACTTACAAGTACTAATTAGCATTATACTATTTCATGATTTCATAATTCCGAAAAACATTTTTTTATAGCAAGTGAGTGGAAGTAACCCTGCTGATAAGTTCTAAATGTAATGGCATGCTTAACGCTTCCGTGGCGCCACCATGACAAATGCAAGCACTAAAAACTTATTTGCGAAGAGTGTTATGTCTGTTAGTCTGTAACCAAGGGGTGACTATGACTTGTCTTCGCCAGACCTAGGGTATAACCAGTATGAGGATTTATTCGTAAATATCAGGTCAAAAACGTTTTTGAAAATCACCATACTTTTCAAGTGTTCATCACAGACTATCCTCTGGCATCGCTGTCACTTTCTTATCTTAATCAAAGATAAAAACCCGGGACGGGACTTGACAATCGAGCTTCTCATTCTTCTTAATGTTTTTGAAGAATTCCCATCGAAAAGTTGTGCGTGGTGTTTGACGGAATTGACCAATGATGTTAGGAATGTAAAATATTTTTTCTATTTTCTTCCGCAGTTTGGTTAATCATTTTTGCTCAACACAATAAAGACAACAATATCCATCGCTTAATACACGCACTGCACTCAACTTTTCAACTTTCCTTTCACCAATATAAACAATTAACAACGCCATTGACGTCAACATTGATTCCAGCATCACTGCCAGCCAGATTAATGCGATCCCTTTGTCCTTTTTATTCCACGAGTGCTACCTCTCAAATCGACCAATCAGAAACTGGCTCGGATTTGACTGTAAATGGGCTCGAAATCGCTACTCGATAGTCAAGTCCCATCATCAATCATCAAACATCAACTTCATAATGATGTCTCTTGAAAATATCCAAATTATTTGACATTTTTTTGATTAATTTGGAAGTAAATGCTGTGCTAAAATAATAAAGAGTCGAGTGTGTCCGGAAGCACATTTGCGATCCGGATACTTCCCTGATGTGTGTTTGATTTGCCTCAGTTGAGCTTGGCTGTGGTGCCATTCGGATTCCCAGGCAGCCCAAATGTTCCTTTTGATAGCATGTATGTCGTCTTGAGATGGTATTGGGATGTCGAGTTCAGCTTCATTTCGTCCTTGTTGAGTAAGGTTGTCTGCTTGTTCGTTTCCGGTAATGCCGGAGTGCCCTGGAATCCAACTGAATGTGACGTTTCGACCTTCTACGGATTTTTCTACAGATTGTATCCATGGATGTTTAGATCGACCACTCCGTAGGGCATCGAGACAACTAGCAGAATCCGTCAGTACGATTGTGTTTTACTGTTTATGCAACTTTGATGCAGCAGCGTTAAGGGCAAATGCTTCTGCAGAGAAGACGCTGCAAATACCTGGTAAACAGTAACTAAATTGATCGCTACTTATAACCACTCCAGCACCAGGGGAGTTTCCATCTTTAGAACCATCAGTGAAAACTTGTGTGTGTGAGTGGTGGTAGTTATCGCTCAGCTTCTGAGAAGTGCAGACGTTTGTGAAGCATTTACGGTTGGATATTTGTCTACTTCGGTGTGCCGCGTCGCGTGGTAAAGTGTTCCGCGATGAGGCGAGAAAACACTTTTAAAATCGATTATTCGAACTTCACCATCAAGCCATCGGTCGAAAAACTTTATGGATTTTGTCGGTCGGTTCTCGGTTTGAAAAGGGAAGATATCAAAAGACTACAGTGCCACAGAGGTGGAGCATGTGCGTTTATCAAAGTCAGTGACTTGGCGCTTGCACAAAAAGTTGTTGACGTTGTAGTGTTGAGGTGAAGGTTTACGACCTCCCCGAAGGTGTGTCTGAAGAGAAGGTCGTACAATTCCTAAGCGCGTTCGGCGAAGTAATCTCGATTCGCGAGGTATCATGGAGTGAAAACAACGAATGCGAAGGCATACCGCTCGGTATATGGTCTGTCCGTATGTTAGTGCAGCGGAACATCGACTCGTGGGTCATCATCGACGGAGAGCAAGCGTTCGTGGTGTACAAGGGGCAGCTCCAATCCTGCCGGCACTGCAAAGAGCACGCACACACTGGCATATCATGTGTCCAGAACAGGAAACTACTGTTTCAGAAAAGCTACGCAAACGTGACGAAGCAAACTGGACAGAGTTATAGGTCAACAACCGGTCATCAACCGATAAACCCAGCTGGTGCGAAACCGCCAAGCACGAAACCGTTCGGTCAAAAATCCACCGCTCCACCAGCGGTATCGTTGGACGTTTTTCCCGAACTGCCGAAACGCACGAGCCAGGGTGAATCCTCAGGCTCGAAAACAAACGCAAACAGCCTGCCTACAGTAGGTGCTGTGTCGTTATGCCCACAAACACAACGAACACCCAATTCGTTGCCATCATTCCTAAATCCACCGCAAGTTGTCGTATCGTTGGTCGATGTATTTAAAAAACCAGAAAATACACCGCGATCGCGGGGCAAAAGCGGCAACGGGAACGAAACCGATGAATCCTCCACATCCACGAGCAGTAGACGAAGCAGAGAACGTCCAGTGGGCAAAAAACCTCGTCGGGACGACGGTGATATGGAGAAGGATGAGGATTCCCACCCATAAATGGCTCTCACGTCGTATAATATCTCGTCGATCAACATCGGCACCATCACTAGTCCAACAAAACTAAACGCGCTACGGAACTTCATCAATAGCCAAAGCCTCGATATTGTGTGTCTGCAAGAAGTAGAAAACGAACAGCTCTCCTTGCCTGGCTTCGTCGTTTTCTCAAATGTGGACCACACGAGAAGAGGAACGGCGATTGTACTGAAGGAACATATCCAGGTCTCTCACGTTGAGAAAAGTCTGGATGTTCGACTGCTTGCTCTGAGAGTACAAGACACGACGATTTGTAATATCTACGCTCCCTCCGGCTCCTCACAACGTGCAACTCGGGAGGATTTCTTCAATGGAACGCTTG